CGTTACGCTACGCTTGACGAGATAAAGACGGCATCGAAGGAGGAGCTAAAAATATTTTAAAAAATGATTTTTTGAAGTGCTTCGAAGATTGGAAAAACCGTTGGCACAAGTGTATAATATCTCATGGGGATTACTTTAAAGGGAATAAAATAGGTATTCATGAATAAATGTTGGGCTATTAGTTGAAGCTGGACTAGATGATGTAATAGTATAAGGAAGTAGTCAATTATCCCACTACATCTGCCGATTGAAGTGGATATATATGAAGCACATGGAGGCGACGTGAACAAGAGGAAAGTTATCTTTATTATATTATCTAAAAGGGGGAGGGGGGATGGACTGCCCGCTGGGCAGCTCGGTGATTGGCTGGCCGTGACGTAGTGGTGACGTAGGTCCTCTCAGGCGGAAGTGGGCATATTCAACATGCCTTCATTCCCCCACTTTGGATATGTCGGGTAGTATGCCAGTATCCAGACAATTCATAGCTGCACAAGCATTCTGATGTGCAGTCCTTTTGAGGCCCTTGGTGAAGATGTCGGCCAGGTTGTCGTTGGTAGAGATGTAATTCACATGGATGTCTCCACTGTTGACCTTTTCTCTTATATAATGATACCGTATGTCAATGTGCTTCGACCTATTGTTTTCTATGTTGTTTTTAGAAAACTCGATGGCAGCTCTATTATCACAGAATATTGTTATTGGGCGTGAGGCGTTAGTCAGGCATTTCAAATTCTCTAATATTTGTGTTATCCACAATATTTCCTTAGTGGTCTGGGCGAGAGCAATGTATTCAGACTCCATTGTAGATAATGATACGCAATTTTGCTTTTTAGATCTCCATGACACTAAACAACCATTAATAGTAACAGCTGACCCGCTAGTTGATCGTCTATCATCTATGTCATTAGCCCAATCTGAGTCGCTAAATGCTAGTATATCATCGGACCCTCTTTTATAGATGAGTGAAACATTCTTAGTAGCTTGAAGATATCTTAGTATATGTTTAGCAGCTTGCCAGTGTCGTTCGCCTGGGTTACTACAGAATTGTGCTAACTTAGTTACGGCAAACGTCATATCAGGTCTCGATGAGTTTGCAAGATATGGCAGAGACCCTATAAGTTCTCTGTAAGGGACGTGTTTTATCTCCTCCTTTTCCTTATCAGTTGTCAGAATGTCCTCGCTTTCCGCGAACAAAGCTAGATCGTCGACATATACGGCGATAACCGCCTTATCTTCAAAATTCAGTTCGCCGTACAGATATGCATTGTCGACGTCGAGGTGTCGATTGTACCAATTTTTATTTATCGTCAATGCAAAGATCATTCTGATGACCGAAAAATTTATTACTGGCGAATATGTCTCAAAAAAGTCAACGTTTCGTTTTTGAGAAAAACCTCTCGCAACTAGTCGCGCTTTAAATCTTTCAACGTCCCCTTTTGAGTTAGTCTTTATTTTAAATACCCATCTACTGCTAATTGGGCGCTTGCCAAGTGGTAGGTCGGACAACGTCCATGTATTTCTATCCTCAAGACTTCTCAATTCATCCTTCATGGCCCTTCTCCAGTACGGTGCCTCTTTGCTGTTTATGGCTTGTTCGAAAGTTGTGGGTTCGATGATATCTAGGAAATGCAGTTCTGCTTTTGGCTTTCCAGCACGTCCATAAGGGTTTCGTACAATTCTTTTAGGCCTAGTTTGAACAATGTCGTCGTTGTTTACCCCCACTAAATCCTGATCACTCGTATCATCATTACGTTCTCTTTCCGCTTCAGGTTTTAGATCTATATCTCCTTCAAGCTGGTTATCGGGTTCTATCCAAATATGGTTGTATCTTTCAGGTTCATCCTCAACCTTAGTCCACTTCAGTCCTATCTTGGATTCGTCAAATTTGACATGCTTCGTTTGGATTACGTGTTGAGTTTCTGGACACCAAAGACGATAGCCTTTAGTCTGGGAAGAATAACCAACAAGAATGCACCTATTTGCTCGATTGTCCAGTTTCTTTCGCCTTTTTGAGGGGATATGGCTATATGCTAAGCACCCGAAAGCTTTTAAGTGGCGAACACTCGGTTTTCTTGATGACCAAAGTTCATCGGGTACTTTATCTCCTAGGGCGCTATTGTAGCACTTGATTCTTATATAAGCTGCAGTGTTTACTGCCTCTGCCCAGAATCTCTGAGGGAGTTCGGCGCTATGTAAACAAGATCGGGTTATGTCCAACAACACTCGATTAGCTCTTTCTGCAACGCCGTTCATAGGTGGCGAGTATGTGTTCGTTAGCCCGTGTTTGATGCCAAGTTGCTCTAGCCTAGTCTTAAATTCATGGTTGCAATATTCGAGTCCATTGTCGGATCTTAGCACTTTTAGCTTATGTCCGGTTTCTCTCTCAGCCCTAGCGAGATACGAGTCGAAGTGTTTCAGCACTTCGTTTTTATGTTTAAGGCAAAACAGGGTTATCTTTCTAGAATAATCATCAATGAATGTTAGAAAATATGCGCTTCCTCCAATAGATCTAACAGGCATTGGACCACAAATATCAGTGTGAACTAATTCTAACGGCCTTTTAGATCTTATATTCCTAATGGGTTTGTGTGGCTCTTTTGTGGACTTTGCTACACAACAATCATCACACAGACTTCGATCCATGGAGGAGATCTCTAACCCTTTAACTAATTCCCCCTTTGCCATTCTCTCAATTGCGTCATTGTTTACATGACAGAATCTCTGATGCCATAGTTCTAATGTTTGTTTTTGTGAACTCTTTTGACTGTTAAACAACTCAGCGTTTGGTAAAATGACTCTACCCTTCATGACATACAATCCATTTTCATTATGTGCTATTGCAACAATTCGGTTCTCCGTATCGAAAACTTGCGCTCTTCTGTTCGCAAAATTAACTATCTTGCCCTTATTTTCCATGCTCGAGACTGACAATAGGTTTCGTCGCACATTAGGGACATACAGAACATTACATAGTTTTAGGTCAACGTGGTGCTTACCCACATAGGCCTTGAACTTGATGTCGCCGCATCCTTCCGCTCGTGTAGTCCCGCTCGCTGTTAGGATCGGATCCGACGTTATTCCTTGGAAGTTGGTGAACCACTCCCTTTTGTTACACACGTGGTGAGTCGCGCCGCTGTCGATCACCCAAGAGTTGTCAGGGATGGTGAAGGATAGGGCTGTTAGCATTTCGCTTCCCGCTATCTCGTGAGTGCTACATCTCGGTGGTTGGAAATTTGGAGCTGGAGTTTTAGCCTTTCCTCTGCATGATCTCGCGATATGTCCTTCCTTGCCGCACTTGTAGCAGGTGAAATTTTTCTTCTTCTTGTCTTCCTTCCTGGTCGTTGTCCCGAACTGCAAAGCTTCATTTGTGTTATTCACACGTCGGGCCATCCGTCTCTCGTATTCTGCTAGCAGCACATGTTTTACCTTGCTAGAGGTGAATTCCTTGTCTTCTACGTTGCTGAAGGTCATGATGATTCCGTCGTATGACTCCGGTAGGCCAGCAAGCATTGAATAGGCGAGGTCTTGATCCTGCATTTCTGCGCCTGCCTCTCTTAAGTGATCCGAACAGATCTTCAGTCTCCCCAAATAGTTCGTCATCGTCTCTTGTTCTTCGAATCTTATGGAGATGAACTGCTTCTTCAGTTGGAGGATTCTTGACCTTGACTTGGGTTCGTATACTTGTTCCAAGGTATCCCATGCTTCTCGTGCAGTGGTACAGTCCATTATATGAATCTGTTGGCTCGGTGAGATCGTCAGTGCTATCATAGCCAACGCCTTTTCTTGCTTCATGTTGAAGATTGTTCTTGAGGCTTCTTCATCGGGTGTTGGCTCCGTAACATACTTCCAGAGTTCTCTTTCGATTAGCATCATCTTCGTATTATACTTCCAGCTTCTGTAGTTCTGATCATTGAGTTTCTCGAGGGGCGTTTTGATCATCGTCGAGGTCATCTTGCACGTGGTGTCTCGAATTAACCACGCTCTGCTACCAGATGTTGGGCTATTAGTTGAAGCTGGACTAGATGATGTAATAGTATAAGGAAGTAGTCAAATATCCCACTACATCTGCCGATTGAAGTGGATATATATGAAGCACATGGAGGCGACGTGAACAAGAGGAAAGTTATCTTTATTATATTATCTAAAAGGGAGAGGGGGGATGGACTGCCCGCTGGGCAGCTCGGTGATTGGCTGGCCGTGACGTAGTGGTGACGTAGGTCCTCTCAGGCGGAAGTGGGCATATTCAACATGCCTTCAATAAATAAATAATTTTTGAAAAAACATAAAGGTCGCGATACTTTTTGAACACACTTCGTACACCACATGTCTACACATTTGAAAAGTAGTTCGACTTTGCACTTACAATAAATTGCGTTAAAGCATAAAATATAAACGGTAGCAAGGCGTTTCTTTATTTATTCATTACTTTATTGTTTATTTTTTATTCATTTATTTATTATAAAGAATTAATAAAGAAACACATTTATATCGTTTATATTTTTATTGAATATTTTTTAGCCACAATTACCCTCCTTTTTGATAAATCAAGAAAAAAAAAACCAACGATGTGTGCATTCCAGACTATTGGCCCTCGTAAGCAATGGTGCAAGCTGTACCTCAACGACCAAAAAAAAAAGATGATTATCGTAGAGGTTTGCTGAAAAATCAAAGAATGGGGCTTCCAATGTGAGAACACAAACCTATAAGAAAACAAGTACCAAAGTGAAATTGATTCTGATCCCAGGACACACACAATTTCTTTTTTCTTAAATATGGACTAATCAACAATATTTTTCAGTATCAAATCATTACTAACAGCATTATTTATCCTGCAATACTTCATTTATGATATTAAATTATCACATATACAATAGAACCTCCCATGAGAGACCATAGCCTGAAAAACATAGATACTCCTGGAGGGGGTCTTTTATTGGAAGTCAATTTATTCCAAAATTCGTCATTTTTTAAAATTACAATAATGTGTATCAATTAGGCCATCCTTTAATGGGATTTTACCATATTTGGCTCTCAACCAGGAGGCCCGGGTTCGATTCCCGGTGTCGGAATATTTTTTTCCGCGGACCCAATTTCTTAACGGAGATTCTGTCCCTAGCCTCCCCAGCCTGGTCATAGTGGTTTTATATATTCCGCTTTATGCGGCCATTGGGGCTCAAAAATAGACCCGTAAATAAAGATATTTCCATTTTACTATATCAAAATACAGTAGAACTTATATAATTCTAACGTCTTTAAAATTCGAATATTTATCTTCTTGGTCCCTAGAATTTCCTATAAATAGAATTTCCGTTTTTTATTTCAAATTTTTGGATAATTCGATTATTTTTTGGTCCCTTGAGCTTCAAATTATCCAAGTTCTACTGTAGTTAGATTATTTGAATTCGTTATCTCTCCTTTGTACAGTATCTCTCTACAGATCAACAGTCTTTCCAGTAGGTCTCGAGGACCACGCCATCACCATCTCCTCAGCGGCGAAGCACACGATCTACGTATTCTTCTTAGATCACGAAATACGTGGTGTCGCTGGAGACCCGCTGGTGATTCTCTACCAAACTCTGCAGCGGTGGCAGAGGCGCCATATTCATTGTACATAGTGTATATAATCCATATTATCTTTTTTTAAATATTGCAGACTGTGTACTTTGCATGTATTGACAAGATGTCAATAAAATTATTTTAATTGTCAAATTGTCTACAGGTCAACATCTAGTTGTGGAGTCAAAATGTTCTTTATATCAGAAGAAATGGTCATTTTGGTGATTGGTCATTGGTTGAAAATGTCCCTTGTATTGGAATATCCATTGTAAGAAAGATGTACACAGTGTGTGTGTGTGTTTTCTAAAAATAATGACAAGAGGCGAAAAATAAAGTAAACTTGCTATTTCAGACACAATAAGATCATTGGTGCAGACATCATCAGAGCAAATTGAATAATAAAACCGTAGCATTTCGGCTTCTAAAAATCATCTTAAAACTATAATTTGAAAAAATATATGTCATAATTTGCCTAATGCCCAAGAGATATAATTTATTTTCGCCTTAATTAATATGTTAAAATGTAAATACAAATTAATCTATAAATCTGTACAAAATAAACGTGGGAGCCAGCGCGCGCTCACGAGTGTGGAACAAGTTCTTTTTCGAAGCATACATGCACTACGGCTGCGCCCTTCCATTCGACCACGACAGTTACGACATATATATACACTGCGTGACATTGAAAATGGAACACCAAGAAATAGTGGCCAGAAAATTATGCAAATTTCAGGGTAGACGCGCCTAACCGAGTTATGCAAATGATGTAAAATGCGCAGCTCTCGTGCGCACATGGAGTAAGATATAAGGGAAGGAACTTGCAGAAAGGACAGTATTCGTGTCGTTATTTCTTCAAGGAAAATCATTGTAGAAATGTTGATCTTGTGTCAAAAGACACGTGTAATAACAGAGAATGCCAGGTCATCGTAAACGGAGGTAGTTCAAGCAGACAGACGCTTTTACGAGGGGCATGGTGATCGGACTGAAAAGGGCAGGTTGGTCCATACGTCAAATCGCAGCTGATACACACCTTGGTGCGTCCACGGTGCACCGACTGTGGAGAAGATGGTTGGAACAAGGAAATGTGGCAATTTATAGGAATGTCGGTGCAACCAGAGTGACGTCAGCACGTGTGGATCGGCGTATCCTTCGACAAGCAGTGGCGGCCCCACAAGCCACTTGTACCGCCATCCTGCAACATGTGCAAGACACCCTAGATCATTCCATCTCGACCAGAACCATTTCCCGTCGATTGGTTGCTAATGGCTTGCACTCATGCCGTCCGCTAAGAAGACTGCCATTGACCCCACCGAATAGGCGCCAACGTTTGGAATGGTGCCGGGCTAGATCGACGTGGATGACGGAATGGCACAGGGTCGTGTTCTCAGATGAGTCGCGTTTCTGCTTGTCCAGTGATAGTCGCCGTGTACGCGTGTGGCGTCGACGTGGAGAAAGGTCCAATCCGGCAGCAATTGTTTTTTTTTTTTTTGCTTATCCCTAGTACACGTGGTTCAGGCCATGATAATCATGGTGGGTAGTTAGCGACTGCTTTTTACTGTAAGCGCACCACATGTCTACACATATGAAAGCAGTTCGACTTTGCACTTGCAAATGTGCCAGAGCCCCATTTTGGTTACTTGCACTCACTGGTGGGGTTGGACTTTTGCAAGAATCGGGGGGCCATTGGAGCATTTTTTTTTTTAACAGAAAAAAGTGTCCAATGCGGGGATCGAACCCGGGACGTAGTGGTCGTAAACCAAACGGTTTAACCAGCCTTCCACCGACCCCCCTCCCCCCCGGCAGCAATTGTGGAACGCCCCACCGTAGGACAACGTGGAATCATGGTTTGGGGCGCAATCGCGTATGATTCCAGGTTACCTTTACTTCGTATTCAGGGCACTATGACGGCCCAACGATACGTTGATGATGTGCTGCGACCGGTGACACTCCCCTACCTTCAGGGGGTACCCAATGCCCTTTATCAGCAGGATAACGCCCGACCGCACACTGCTCGCATTAGCCAACAAGCTCTTCAAGATGTACAGATGCTTCCCTGGCCACCGTACTCTCCTGATCTCTCACCAATCGAGCATGTCTGGGACATCATTGGACGCCGTTTGCATGCCTTGCCACAGCCGCGTTCAGAAGACGAACTGTGGCAAATGGTTGAGAGGGAATAGAGAGCCATCCCTCAGGACGCCATCCGTACTCTGATTGATTCTCTACCTAGACGTGTTGCTGCGTGCATCGCCGTCCGCGGTGGTCCTACTTGCCACTAAGCCGACGCCGTTCTCGCTCTGTATTATGACTATCATTTTGAAATAAGGATCACTTATTGTTCGTCCCTGTCTCTCTCTGTCTGCCGAGTTTCATCACTTTCTGGCCACTATTTCTTGGTGTTCCATTTTCAATGTCACGCAGTGTATTCCTAGAGTACAGTCCAACTATCTTAATTTTAAACCTCACATGTATCAGAATTTAAAAAGTGAAATATATCCAAGGTAAAACACCAATATACAATAATACCCATCTAAAATGAACCTGGGATATAGCAAACCTTTCCTTATAACTAACCTGAAAGGAGAAATGCCCACTTGCAAGAGTTTTTATTCATCAGAGCTCTTCTATTGTATTTAAAGTTATCAATAAAGACAAATGGTTCTAATTTGAAAAGTTCAAATAGATTTAACAATTTGGATTGTATAGATGGCATTTGGATACAAGAAACTCCGCCTTTGCCTAGGTTCCAAGCCCGGATGAAAAAGGAGGAGGGGGAGCAGTAACAAGCTCGCTAAAAAAACCTGAGCTCAGCTGGCCCGGATGATAGTACCCTGTAAGGTCTCCTAATCCAGGGATACAGGATGGGCAGTGTTTGTACTCCATGTTAGGAGCGGCTGCACATGGCATCTATTCCTCATGTCAGAAGGCGGCCATTTCTTTTGGAGCTAAGTCAGCCTGCCACTGAGTAGTGCTCCCAGTCTTAATGACAAAGGCAGATGCATTCTACTTCACCCAGTCATGATCTCAAGCTTTACAAGCTTGATACCCTAATATGATTGAGTGGAGATAAGAAAGAAGATACAAGAAAATAAGACCTAATCCAAATAATTAAATAGTGTGTGACGTTTCTGTAACTGCATTGTTACCATCATCAGACAAAAGAAAAAATGAATAACATGAAATATAAGGAATATATAATAAAAGAATAAAATGAAAAACATTTGCTCTTCTTATCTGATGGTAACAATGCTGTTACCGAAACGTCACACATTATTATATTATTTGGATTAGGTCTTATTTTCTTGTATCTATAATCTATAATCGAAATTTTGCATTATCATAGATGACATTTGAAAAGTCTTCTTCTTCTTTCTTATCTCCACTCAATCATATTAGAGTATCAAGCCTGTAGAGCTTAAGACTTGACAACCATCATGACTGGGTGAAGTAGAATGCTACTGCCTTTGTCATTAAGACTGGGAGCACTACTCAGTGGCAGACCGACCTAGCTCCAAAAGAAATAGCTACCTCTGACATGAGGAACAGACGCCATGTGCAGCCGCTCCTAACAATGAGTACAAACGCTGCTCATCCTGTATCTCTGGATTAGGAGCCCTTACAGGGTACTATCAGCCGGGCCAGCTGAGCCCAGGTTTTTTAGCGAGCTTGTTACTGCTCCCCCTCCTCCTTTTTCATCCGGGCTTGGGACCGGCAAAGGCGGAGTTCATTTGATAAGTAATCTGTGAAAAAGAATTGAGAGAAATTCATTTTTCGGTCATTGAAAACTTATAATGAAGATTTCTACACCAAGTTATATTATTTCTTCTTTTATCATCGTACCTTCTCTTTCAATATCATGCCAACACAGAATTCTATTTCATTCAACAGTAGAACCTAGTTGCAGAGCCAAAGTGTCCTGTAAGGAAAGGTGTCCTCTAACCATAGAATTGATAACACCTCCCTTCAAATGACAGTTTTCATATTTCGCAAACATTCCCCATTTTTGATAAGACATAATTTGGATTATCTATATATATAAAATTGAATGTCTGTCTGTCTGTTTGTCTGTCTGTTTGTTTGTACTCTATAGATTCAAAAACCATACATCCAATCGCCGTGAAATTTTGGGATATTATTAGGTATATCACCGGGAAGGTTTTAGAAAAATAATTTCATGAATATCTTGAATATCCTTAGAGTTATTTGCAGATTTGTAGATTTAACTCGCAAGCAGCGCCCCCATTGTGACGATGATAACAAGTTTTCTTATCACTAAGTTTGTTATCTTAAATATTATTTATCAAAAGTAAGATTATCTCAGGATGACACGGCAATGTGACACGGGAAAAAATGTTCACTAGATAAAACTATGATTTTCTATATGATATAAAAAGCCAACAATGAAGAGTGAATGTAATATAAAAAGCCAACAATGAAGAATGAATGTAAGATAAAAAGCCAACAATGAAGAGTGAATGTAATATAAAAAGCCAACAATGAAGAATGAATGTAA